CTGACTGTAAGCACTAGGCCTTATAGTTCGAAAGGGTAAGGGCCATTTTTTTTTATTATACAATGGAATTCAGCTATGAAATTAAACTAATATAACGCGTGAATGTACTGGCTATATAACTGTAGTATAGCAGAAACCTACGGTATAGAAAAAAAATTTTAGTGCGATAAGGATTTTGCTTCAGCGCGCTCACTGTGTTAGTACCCGGCCTATACAATATTCAATAAGGTTACCGTTTTATAGAGCACTTTATTTATAAGACTTTCTACTCCATTTTTCATTGAAAATTTTATTTAATTATCTATGCCTGTCGTTATGAGCTGCCTAAGTATTTAATTTTTACATTTTAGGTAGGAATTAAATTTGGACTGCGTGTTGCAAAGCCAGTAGTCGCACTTTATGGCCAAGGAATCGATTTTTGAGCATTATAATGTTCAGGGCTTAGCCTAATCACTAATAACGAGATTTACTCTTCATCTCTCGAGGGCTAGGAGTAGTATTAAGCATAAAACCGTTACTGTGCGATTTAAGAACTTTTTCACTGTTTCCTGCTTGCAGTTGGGTCGCTAAGCTTAGTCGTATATGAGTAATTTTTATCATACTACTAGTCGTTTACTTGGTAAGTGAAAAGTTTCTAAAATTGCTGAAATTATTTATTTGTTAAAACGAAAGCCCCCCTCCACATTTATTATGAACCTACTTCATTCAAGGGGTTATATATATACTTATTTCTTTGAGAACGCATACAGGTAATTCAACTACATATCTTCTGTCTAGATTTAACTTCATTTTGTTTAATAATCTTTTTACAGATTGGCATTTAATTATCCTAAATCCCCCGCTTCCTTGAAAAAAAAGAAGCCCTAAGCTTTGTTTTACTATCGTATATGAAAATCCGTTCACTCTTGGAGTCTTTGAGGATAACGGAATTATTTTGGATATTACCCCCAGTTATATATATGATTTCGTGAACCTCAGTAACTGTCTTTTTGTGGAAAAAGTTGCCTCTCTCTAATTTTTTCCCCTTAATATCGGCATATTAATGTGTTTAATCTGTTTGTTTTATGCGGTTATAAAAACCTCACATCTCCCCTCGCTAACTTTCCTTTTGGCCCCTTATTCGTCATAAAACTTTTGCCAAGAAACATATTGACGGACAGGCGCTTACAGCTCGGCGGATACAACCTGATATGCCAACCAGAACGCGCTAAGGTATTTAATATCTATAGAAATTGACCTCACTGTCGTTAAACCTTGTTTTATATACAAGAGTGATTTTTTTTTAAAAACTAAGTAAGAAGGGAAAAAGAACATTGTTTATTATGTGGGTATGTTCAATTAGAAGGATTTAATAAAATGAAGTTCAAGTGGGTTAGAAGGTTTTTAAGGCTATGGAAAAAGGTCGAGTTAATATTAAAAAAAGGGGTGCGTAACATTACGTACCAATTTATTACTTTTTTTATAATTATTATTAATGTTGTTTCCTGGTTCTTGAATGGATAAAAACAACGAATGTACGGGCTGTCAAAACGATGGGAGCAGCGTACAATATCGACTAGGCTTGTATTAAAGCAGTTTTATAATTATGCATATCTACCTTTAGCTTTAAAAATGCAACAATAATATTGAAACAAGGTCCGTAACCAACCAAATTCTTCTGACAGCAGTTGATTAGTGTGCCTAGTAAGTCGCTGATCAATATCCGTAAGGGTATCGTTAGCATCTTTTTATGTCACACTTCAGGCGAGGGGGGTTATTTGGAGAGTTGTATGCCATGCGGCAGACGTGTACGCTAGATTGACTAGACACAACATTTACAAGCGTGACTGGTTGCGTAACGAGAGTACGTCTCTGGCACAAAGTAAATGATAGAGTTTAAGCCGACACCTTGATCTTCGCCAGGTCTACATCGTCAGCCATGATAGCTTTTTGTCAATAATGACCTTCAGACATACTACCTGGGAGCATGGAATTAACTTCCTTTCAAAGGTCGGCGGCGGTGGGGTGCAATGCGCTTCCTGCTTTTTTCTGCAGGTTTTGAAGCAATAAGATCAACCACTTTGGGTAGGAGTAATTTGCCGTATCATCTGCGTATTCGCATGTCGCGCACCTAAAATATAAAGAGCATATATGATGCCAATTATTATTGCGTGGCCCCCGCTGTAAGTAGTTTTAGGGGCGAGCACTCTTCGCCCACATGTATAATAAAGATGGATTTACAAGGAAAGATTTAAGCACAACTAAAAAACAGCAGAAAGGGGTATGGTGCTTAATTTGAAAAGTAGACCCTTTTGCCAAACTCGGTAATATGTTTTTTCGCAGTCAAGATGTACGGGCCCTTTGCCATTATAAAATTGAAGGCACAAGTCAGTCATTATGATAGGCGAAGGAGTTGTTGCGTCGTTAAAAGTCTTGGTCCAATAAAAATTGGAATTCTAGTAGGGCACGCCTCGCGTCAACAAACGCATTTCAGTGGCTTAATATGGAGGCCTAAGCTTGACGTTGAGAGAGGACGTGATGTTTTTGAGGAGCATCACAACAGTGACAGTCAGCGTCAAGTTGAGCGGTTAGCATGGAGATCTTCCATTATCATCGGCGTTCCCTTCAGCCATGGCATTGGAGTCTCCATCGAGGGTTAAGTGCCTTGCGTTTTGGATCTTGAATTCTTTTGTGGTGACTAACTTAAGCTGCTTCTTCCCATTGACGAAAATGTCACTTTGCCTACAGTTCACGAGTCATCGTGGCCAACAAGGTTAGGGCAGGTAACGTCGGGTAGAGCCAGAGCTGTTGAAAGAGTGGACTCCAAGACTCATTGGTTGCCAGGTTGTCCTATGTGTATGAAAAGCTATAAAGTTTATTTTAAAAAAGTAAACACAAGATATTTGGCCTAGTATTAATTAATATTTTATTTTTTCCTGTCTCCAACTATCAGCTACCTTCATTAAGCTTTTTAGCTAAAAGACTAATTTAAATAAAGCCTAACCCGTTGAGAACGAATTAGTTTCATATATATATATTTATATATCGCTAAGATGCATAAACTGGAGACTTTCGCAGTGCTGGCGCGTGCTAACAATTAATATTTAGCTTAGCATTTTCCTTTGTGTCCCGGCAAAGGCGTTCAGTGCTTTATCCTCATTAGTTGTTATACAAACGAGGAAAGTTAGACTTATAGTTATTATTGTTTTATATAATGGATTATTTTAGTTATCTGTATGAAACACTTCCTCACACTCTACAGAAAACAACTTTGGCTGGCTATAAGGCATTTATATATGTTTTTAGTGCTCAATTTTAGACAAATTATGTTTTAACATTAAAAATATAAAAAGTAATTTCGTAGGAAGTTTATTTTATTTTATATTAAAGTTATTTATTAATAAAATAACCTGCACTTTTACTTTGTAAATAATCAAGTTTAGTCTTATAGTTATATAATTATATAGAGACTAACCGAACCTGCGAATAAGTACATTGAAAATTTAGTACGATCATGTATGAAACTACACAATGCCGACTTTAACAAGTTTTTTTAAAACATTGAAACTGTAAAGCTTTTGTTACCTCATTTTCTGTAGGAATTGGCAAAGCAAAGTACAAAACAAAGTTTTATCTTTGGATATCCCTGTTCAAAAGAAAACCTTGAGTAAAAGTTTAAAAAATTGGAAGAAAGTACTTTTTGTTATAATAAGTTAAAAGTCAAAGTGTTTAACCTCTTATAATCTTTAAGAATATAATAACTACATCAAAGATGATTTCTGCGAATGAGAAGAAAGCTAGATCAAAATTTTATAAACTTCAAGTAAAAAGGTTTTTAATTAAAGTTTAAAAGTAATTTTATTTTGTAATTTAATTTATTAACTACATTAGTTTTATTAACTTTTTATTGAAGGTATTCTTCTTATTTGAACATGAATGTAGCTTGGATTAAATATTTTAAGACTTGTTTGTGCGAAATACAGAAAAAAAAGTTTTTTTAATCTATGTACTCTATAGGTTTCCTATAGTATAAAGATTTTTTTATAGCTCTTTGGATCTATTAACTTCTGTAGAATTATTTTCTTTGATTGACTTGCACGGTTGTTTAGTTGAAGGTTCCTTGCTTTAAGTTTTTAGAGCTTTTATAAGAATTATATACTTTGTTAGATTAAATTAATAGATTTTTTATCCTTAAGAAATTTGTTAAGTATAGTTTTGATCGTGATACATTTATTAGTAAATTGTAATTAATTCTAAAGACTTTTCTGCTTACTCAAAGTAAATTTTGTGAAAAACTGGAAAGTCATACAAACTTTTACTTGTTCTTGCTCTACTCAGCTTATCCTTTTTTTTGTTAATCTTATATAACGCCTCCCCGAGCGGGTAACATCTCATAAATCTGCTCTTGACTAGTACTCTGACCGCGATTCTCATAAACTCGCTCTTTAAAATTTTTTTTAATTTCTACAAAAAATTAATTTTTTTTAAAAAAAATGAACTTATTTACTTATGCTGTGATTTAAAAAAAAACTTAATCGCGTTTTTGGTGTTAAAGTAGTCTCATCAACGAACCAAAAAACTAATAGATATTTTAATTTATTTTTAAATATCACAAGGGAAATTACGAAAGTAAAACTTTTCATCCTTCTAAAAAATTTCTGTTCTATTAAAATTTTAAACAGAATTTAACTTCTTTAAAAAGAAAGTTAATTTCTGAAGTACTTTAATGTCGAATTTAAATTTTTTTTAGACTTTTATTTTTTTTTAATCTTTTGCGCAAAGTAAATCTATTTTCCTTCTATAAAAGTGCTCGTAAGCAGGGACGGTGTAAGCGCAGGTCTTTCCGGGATTGTCGTGAAAGAAACGCGCAGAACTTTTAATATTATAACAAATAATAATGAAATTAAAAGTAAACTTATTTTTATTTTAATAATTAAAATTGTCGAATAAAATTTTATTTTTCTTATAAAAAAGTTTTTATGTAAACTTTATTATTTTAATTTTCTTTATAATAGTTTTATTGAAACACATTGCAGTCTTCCGCTTTACTGTTGATAGTAAAACTTTTACTTTTCACGGAAAAACAAGAATCTCATTTGGATCTTGAATCTTTTTTTTATAAAGGAATCATTTCGCCGATCGTACATTAAAATTCTTCGGCATTTTTCTTTGTTGCGGGTCGTCTAACTGTAATATTTTTATATAATAATAATATTAATAATAATAATAATATAAACTTCTTTTGATTTATAGTAGTGAGGAGCCACTTCTAGAAGCCAATTTGATTCAATTATAATAACCTACAAAAAAACAATATAAATTTATTATTGTTTTTATTAATCATTAATAAAAGTAATAAAAATTTTCCTTTTCTTAGTGGCTAATTTTATAATAAATCTCATCCTAATTGGATATGTACCAGCCACTAAGATTTCTTTTAAAAAATAGATTCATAGAAAGAAAGAAAAACTCACATTTCGCATAAATTCACGTGTAGTAAACACAAGTTCGTGATAGAGAACCCATTTGGGGTGTTCCTGTGAAAAATATAATTTGATAATAATAATAATAATAAAAATAAGGATAATAATAATAATAATAATCAATAACAATTATGATATGTAAAAAGTATAATAATATTAGTAGAATAGAATAATAAATAATAATATATAATAATAATAAATAATAATAATAATAAAAGAAACTTCTATAAGACAGCTGCTGGGATGGATGGAAACGGATTGGGGGTGCTTAATAGTTTGGTAGTCGCCCGACTTGGAAAGCCTCGCTGTGTGGTAGAAAAATCCAGAAGTGATGGCCTTCCGGATAGCCACGCTGTCTGCCGTGGAACTATTGGCCAGGTACCACGTGGTGCGCGTACAAAGAAGAACGGCATTGGGCGTTACCAAAGATCAATCTCCACGCGCTCGAGCAGACCGAGTAGTTGGTCTCGTATGTCCCGCGCCCTCCTCATCGACCTTTGGAAAATTTCAAGGATAATAAGGAAATAAAAGAATCAATAGTATTTGTGATTATTTTGATTCGAATCTTAAAATTTTTTGAATTTTTTTATTACAAAATTTCATATTCTCCAATAATGATGACTTTGTTTTTTTTATTGATTTAAAAGTTTTTTAACTTTTTTTTAACAATTCTTCTTCAATAGTAACAAAAATAAATAACATTTAATTTTCCCCTCAACCATAAAGAAAACAAATAACCAACCGGTGCTGAACGTAGTTTTCGAAACACCAAGGCACCGAAAAGCCGGACTCTTCATATTCCTTCCACACATTCAGGAGGGTCAGGTGGTCACCGCCCTCCCCTTTTCAAGTGTGCCAATAAATATAAGAAAGTACAAAAACGGTGCAATTGCAGGAAATATATACCAAAAAAGTTTTGCCGCGCAGAATCGGCGTGCACAGCTTTATCTTTTGGTCGGAAAAATACTGAATTGCCCACGCACAACATTGAAACTATACTCAATATTTCCTCAGAACACTGTTTAACCAATAATAATAATGATAACAATCACAACAGTGATAATTATTGATAATAATAATAGGATCATTAATCGCGTGGAACGACTACCATCAACCACCAATAATATGCAACTACTTATTTTTTATAAAAGTCAGCATCCAATCACAAACTTTATATTTTTCAGAGGCCAATAGCGATTTCGACAACATTGGATCCAATGGAAACTCAGCCATCCGGCGTCCTAGACGTTTTCAGAAAAAAGTTAGCCAATAATATATGGATTTCTTCACTTATAAAGAACCTGTTTTAGTGAGCTCTCCGCGGTCGTTCAATGCGCCCAATGCGTACAGTTGTTCCAGTGCCTTCACAAATTATAGCGAGCATATAAAAATAAGTAAAAAAGGCGTCTATACATAACACGTAACTATTAATAAAAAGTTGCAAAAGAGTCAACAGAAATCAAAAAATGTAAGCCCACGAGGTTAGAAAAAATCACGCGGGTTTACTTTAATTAGAGTTCTTGTTGGGGGCGGATCCATAAAATCAAAGTTTTTCAAATCGTTTATTCCTAAACTTTTCAGCAACAGCACTACATTTCCTAAATTTCGTTAAATTTTTTGAAGTTAAGAAAAAAACAAAAGCAGCCAATAAGCGTTTAAATACACAAAAAAGGAAAAGATTACTAAAATTTTATGAACGGTGAGGTAAATGTTATAATTATAACCCCCATGTTAACCCCCATGTGACCTTTCAAATGTGCTTCACCACATGTATAAGTCACGTGTTACAGCGCTTATTTATTTTTGTTTGTCATTTAAGTTTTTGTGAAGATAAAATTTCTACTGCGCACTTTTCATTAATATTTTCATCATAATTTTAATAATTAAAAAATATTTTACTATAAATAATTAATTTTAAGTCGAAACTATTTATAGTTTTTAAAACTTACAAAAAAAAGCAAACGCTATTTTTATTTGAAAGTTTAAAATAAATTAATAAAAGTTAAAATATAAAATATTGATATAAAAATTTTAAGTGTTCTTTTTAAACTTTTGAATGCCTTATTATAATTATAATAATAATATAAAGAAATAATACCGAGATTAGTTCTTTGTATTTCTGGTATCGCACTTTCATCCATTTCATTTTTAAAAGCCCAACCTCATAAAAAAACGTAAAAAGTTTTAAAGTAATATAGGACCAATCATATTTTATTTTATGTGCAGAACACGTGAAAGTTGTTGGTGTACAAAGCAGGTTTTATGGTGTAAGTACTTGTGAATAAACGAAAGCATTTCCCAGGGGCTACACGACCAGCTCGTCCTTTTATAGTAAATAATAATAATAATCATAATAGTAATAATAGTAATAATAATAACCTGCGCGCTGCTGAGCACTGGCTTGTGAGATGGGCGTGACAAGCAAACTCTCCATTCCTTAAGCGATTAAAGGATACTCAAACCCGGAATATTTAAGCCGATAAAAAATGCTTGACTGAACCTGTTGTCGAATCGTAGCTGCTCTGCTTGACAAAGCCAGGATCGATCACGTAAATAATGCCTGAATAAAGCTTGAGTTGTATTTGAACAAAAATGTCAAGTTCACAAAAAAACCATCAATAGTAAGCGAAGTTTCTGCAATATTAGTGGCTAATATAACTTTCCTAGCATCCTCAGGAGTCGGCTCAAATATTTTTGCTTGCAAATCTTCACACAGTAATAAAAAAAAAGGTCACGTGGCGCTCCGGGGGTGCCAATAAAGAAACAAACCTGAAGGCAAGTTGGCATAAATCGGAAGAACAAGCAATTCTTTAATTTTCGAGCCAAATTTTTTGGCGCGCTCATTAAGAATCTCAGCGCAAACCTCGATGTCTTCTTGGCCAGTTAAAAACACGAGAATGTCGCCTTCATAATAATAATGATAATAATTTTAATATATAGGAATATATATATATAGGAATACCTAAAGGCTGGGAAATATGAATCTGCATAACAGTAACAACTACAGCATCCAAATAGTCGGCTTCAGGGTCTTTTGTGTAATAAATATCAACATTATACATCCTAAAGAATAATAATAATAATAGAAATAATAATAGTAGTAATAATAAAAACCTTCCAGGAATATTATATATTGGAGCGCTATTAAAAAAATCAGAAAACTTTTCAGCGTCGAGAGTGGCTGAAGATATAATCAGTTTCAGATCGTCACGCGCTAGGGCAATGTCCTGATCGATTATTGAAGATAATACGAAGGTCAAAAAAAAAGGGAATGCAAATACTTTTACTAAACCAAAAAGTATGTCAGTGTGAAGTGTGCGCTCGTGAGCTTCATCAATCATCATTACTCTGATAATAATATAATAATAATAATAACTGAAATAATAATCATAGTAAAAATAATAGTAATAATAAAAGTGCCTGTAATTTTCAAGGTCAGGTTCTGTCATAAATTCTCTAAGCAACATCCCGTCCGTCATATATTTTATACTATTATATAATATATAATAGAAATAATAATAAATAATAATATAAATAACAATAATATTTATAATAAATAATATTATAGACAAAACCAAGTCCGTTCTGTAGTACAATCTTCAAATCTTACAGAGTAACCAACTTCGTAGCCAACCTACAAAGTAAAAATAATAAATAGTAAATAATGATAATGACAATAAACACTAACAACAATAATAAACGCACACCTTACAACCGAGCTCCTCTGCAACACGCGTGGCAACGCTCATGGCGGCCACGCGTCTGGGCTGTGTGCAGCCAATCTTCTTCCCGCCTTTACAGTAACCCGCTTCGTATAGATATTGCGGGATTTGCGTGGTCTTGCCGGAGCCCGTTTCAGCAACAACTATGAGAACCTGTTGTTATATATATAATGATGCTGATCTTTTTTTATTATTTATATTTATATATATAATAAATATACATAAATATAGAATATAAAATAATATTTATAAATATATATACATTAAAATATTTATGGAAAGATAAAAAAGTTAATAAACTTGATATTTGCCAATCAAAGAAACCAGTTCATCTTTATGAGCGTAGATAGGCAAACCTTTAAAAAGAATAATAATAATAATCATAACAATAATCATAATAATAATAATCATAATAATAATAATAAAAATAATAATAAAATAATAATAATGAAAGCTTAAAAACTTTTTCGAACTTCCTTTAAAGTTTGACGTTCCTGTTCTTTTTTTCTTATTAAATATTCCTCTTCAGTTTCGGTCTATTAAGGATTTATTATTATTATTATTATTATTATTATTATTATTATTATTATTATTATTATTATTATTATTATTATTATTATTATGCAAACCTGATTTCCTAAAAGCCCACCTCCTTCTTTTAATATAAACTCAATCTGATCGTCCATATACTCTTCCAGTTCATCTTCAACCTATTAAAATAATAATAGTAATAATAATAATAATAATAATAATAATAATAATAATAATAATAATAATAATAATAATAATAATAATAATAATAATAATAATAAATAGTACCTCTTTATTATAAACGGCGGCATCTTTACTCCCAAACCTTAATTGAGCATTTCTTAGTTGTGCTTGCTCCCATTCAACGTATTCATTGGTTGAAAAATCAGCACTAGTTGCCTGCATTTATATTTATTATTATTATTATTATTATTATTATTATTATTATTATTATTATTATTATTATTATTATTATTATTATTATTATTATTATTATACTGCCGGCTGATGTCTTCGCTTAAGTAAAGCTTCCTTCTTTGCTCTATTGATATATTCCTTTCCGTCGCGGTACTCCACATACGATTCAGGCATTTCATATCTTTTTTTTATTAGTAGGCAATAAATATTATAATAATATATCTTTTCTATAAAAATATAACAAAAAATATTTATATAAGAATATTTTATTTTATAGTCATAATATTTACATTAAAATGTTTTTTATAAACAAGCGGTCATAATTATATAAAAAAATATTTATTTATAATTTTCTTAATAAATAAGCAAAAAATATTATATAAAAAAAACTTTTTTTCTATATGAAAAATAAAATAATATAAATATTAATATCTTTTGTATTGATAAGCAATAACTTTATATAAAACACTATTTTTACGAAAAATATATAACAAGAAATATAATAATAATGAATATATTACAAATAAAAAAATATAAAAAAGATTTTTATTAAAAAAATTTTCACAGAAGCCAAGCACGGGGCCGCGTATTTTTATAAAAAAAAGTTGCTTATGTTTAACGTTATATATAATAAACTTTTTTATTCAGTATAGAAAAAAATTATAGATAAAAACTTTAAAAAATATATAAATATATTTATTTATTATTATTTTTTATTTCATATTTACTGATTTTATTGTATAAGAAAATTTTTTATTAGCAAAAGATTTATTACTAAGATAATAAATAATAATAAAAATAATATATAAATTCAATATAAAACAAATAAGAGTTTCAATTTTTTATTATAATATAAAATTTCAGAAGTGTATAAATAAATAAAAATTTTTATTTAAATTTAAAAAAATTCTAAAATTTTTCTAAACAAAATCTTCTTATTAAATGTAATTATCATACATTAAAAGTATTAGAAATTATTTTGATTCATAGAAGTATTAGATTTAGAAGTATAATAACAATATAAACCTTTTCATAAAGTTTAATTATAAAACTATAAAAAAATGTACAAAAATATAAATAAAAGTATTAATTTTTAAAGCAAATTATTTAAAAATATATAGTAATAATAAAAAATTCGAAAAGTTTTGTAAATATAAATGTTTAGAATTTTCTTTAAAAGTTTATATAAAATTTTTTTAAAGTTTATAATATAAATATAAACAATAAAAATATTAATTAAAAAAAAACTATGAATAAAGAAATTAATAATATCGAAAAAATTTATATAAATTTATATAAATGAGGTAATTGGTGTACAAAAATAGAATAATAACGAATTAAATTGTTCAATAATAAAAATAAACCAATAAAAACTTTAGCATTACTTCTAATGCAGCACAAAAAATAGTGTTATAAAAATTTTTTAATAATAATAGTTTCTACTTTATAAAAGTTAATATTATAATAATAATAATAATAGAAATAAAAATAAAAATAAAAATAATAATAATAGTAATAATAAACTTTTCTTCTCTTTGCTTTTTGCCGAGATTTATATATTCACTTGCTATATCATAAATTTTCTTTTTTTCTTCTAAAGTATGCTTTTCTCGATGAGTTATTTTTTGGCCTTCAAATAACTTTTCGTCTTCAATATCATCATGAAGTTCTTCCTAATAATAATAATAAGCAAAAAAAATAAATAATTTATATAAATAAGTAAATTTGTAAAAAAAGCAATCAGAAAAATAATATATATATATATACTAATACAAATAATAACAAACAAACAAATATTAAAACAATATTATTCATAACTTAATAAATATGAAAAAAAAAGTTTTCTATATATATTTTTAATCTAAGAAAAATATAACAAAAGTTAATAACAAATATAATAATAATATTTATAATAATAAATATAATAATAAGTATACTTATAGAATAAATAATTGTTTATTAAGTATTAAAAATTTTTAAACAAATACAAAAAAATAATAAAAATAAATATAATATAAAAAACTTTAAATTTAAAAAAAAATAAATATTAATTGAAGTTAAATAATAATTTTTAGAATAAATAGTAAATAATAATAAATTTATATATAATAGTTTATAAAAAAAGGTTAAAAGATAATAAATATAAAAAATATTTAAGTTATTGAAAAGTATACAGCAATAAAAACATATCATAGTAATAATAAAATAACAAAAATATTATAAGAAGTATATATGCATCAGAGTTACTCAAAAAATTCAAATAGATATAAAAATAATATTATCGTAATATAAAAAATTATGAAATAATAATTATAAAAAAAATATAATTAAAATATATAAAAATTTAATAGTGAATATAAATAACATAATAATAAAGTAATTATAAAAAATAAAAATTCTTCAAAAATCCTAAAAAGTAAATAAATGATAATGAAAATAACAAAATATCTATTAAAAAAGTTCAAACAAGTTTTAGCGCGGCTCGGTCTCGAACATAAAAAATTCGAGCTTCTTTCCGTTTCTCTCTTAAATAGGCTTCTCGTTCTTCTTTTTCGACTTTATGCTTCTCAGAAACCTTTAATATGTGAATAATAATAAAAATAATAACAATAATAATGTATAATAATAATTTATATAATATAATATATAGTAATGGTAATAAATAATAATAATGATAATAAAAGATAATAATAAGAAAAATATATCATAATAATAATAAAAATTATATAACAATAATAATATATAACTCTACTTTTATTAAAGCATCTTCATGTTTATTGCTAAACTTTTTTGTTTTTTTCTGTATCAAAAGAAATAATCTTTAAAATAATTACAACTTTCCTTTATAATAAGAAAGTAAAAAAAAAACTTTTTAATAATATAAAAAAAGTGTACTGCTTCTTTTTCTTTTAGGCGATTAACAAATTCGTCTCTTTCCTTGAGATCTTTTAAGCGTTCTTCTTCAAATTTATCAAACTCATCTTTAGATGCGGCCAGCGAATTAACTTGCGGTGGCGGCGCTTCAGACTTAAATAATAATAATATTATTATTAACAATACAGAAATAATAAATGCTAAATCTAAAAATAAATTTTCAAATTATCTAATTTCAATCGATTATAAAAAAATTATTTTCTAAGAAAAAAGATTCAAGCCACACAGATTTCAAATTAGTTATAATAAAATTTCTAAAATTTCAGTTAAAAAAATATAATGAACAGAAATTATCAAACAATAATAAAATTAAATCTAAATTTAAAAAGGTTTTTTTATTTCTTTAAAAAAAATTTCGTTTCAATTAATATTAAATATTCTTATTCAAAAGTTGGTCAATGAAATAGCAAATAAAAAGAAGGAAAAAAACCAGAGCATCATCAGATTCCGAATCACTTCTGCGCCTCGCGTGTCTCTTTTTGCTCGTCCGTTTTTCTATGCTTTTTTTATTTCTTTTAGTAGAAAAAAAGTTTTCTTCATCTGCGAAGTTTTAAATTAAAAAAAGTTAAAATATAAATCAATAAGAATTATAAAACTTAAAAAATAATAACAATAAAAGTTTTTTGGTTGCACCCAAATAAAATAAATAAAAAATAAAATTATGTTAAAAAATATAAACAGCTAGAAATTTACTTTATACAAACCTACAAAAGAATTATCAAAAAGAGAATTTTTTATTATTAAAATTATAAATGTAAGAGTAAAAAAGAAAAATTTAACGTAACTAGAAATTTAAAATTTAGAAGACAGAAAAGTTATAATAAATTAATTAAATTACTTTTAATAACTTCTTTTAAAAAGTAAAACTAATTATATAAGTTTAAAAATTATAATAATATTTGTTAAATAACTTCAGTAAACTTCTTTTATAAAACTCTTAAATAAAAACAGAAAATTATCATAAAAAATATAAAAATTATTGACTTTGTATAATAAATATATTTTTAATATAATTACAAAAATAACAAAACCATTCTTTAAAAAAAAAATTTAATTTTATGAAAAGATCAAAAATTTAGCTATTATTTTTTAATAAGGAAATTAAAAAAGAAATTTTTCGTGCATTAAGAGAATTATTTGATTTTTCTGTATATTCATATTTTTATATATAAAATATGAATAGTCTACACCAGAAAGAGTTTCTGTCAGAGCAGTATTTAGTAACACTTGATTAGCTTTTCGCAAATTCAAAGCATCTTGTTCGGCCTGTCTTGCCTGCTTTTTATAGTGTTCGACAGCTGAATTATTCGATTGGACTTTTGCTGGAAGTTTCTAAGCAAATGAAACAATAAAAACATATACTTTTAAAAAAAACTATATCCAATAAAATCTGACTTGAAATAATTGATTTGAAAAGGTAATTGTGTCTGAATCCAAATCAATACCACTGTTTTTTAACTTCCCTTGCAAATCTTCAGGAGAAGATGCCTTTTATATAAGTTTTTATATATAGACATTTATTATAAAAGCATATAAAGTATACTTGCGATGCCAAAGCAATAACATAGCGCACGGTTGTTTTGTCTTGCTGGCCTAATAATCTTATAAGCTCATCTCCAACCCAAACTTCTAAATCTTTATCAGACATTTGGTATTGTCAACTTCTATATAAATAAGAAGAAAAATATAATTTATAAGAAAATTTAATTTTTTTTAGGAGCAATCCGAAATTATTATATTATGAGGGCTTTAAAGTTGTATTTACAATAATTATAAAGTTATAACTATAAAAAAAAAGTCTTACAAAATATTACTTAAATATAATATTTCCTACAAGAAATAATTTATTATTGTCTCAATTCTTTTTTATATAGTTGTTAAATAGCTTAGGGAAAGAAATTACAGTTAAAAAGAATTAACAGCTTATAAACTCTGTCTCAGTTTATTGTTAATTCCCTAAAATAATAGCTTACAAACTATTTAAGAGTAAGAAAAAAATAAAACTCAGTTTCGTAGAAGTAATCTAATATTTTTAAAAAAAAATTTCTTTAAGATCGCTAAGCTCTAACTCCTTTGTAAAAAATTAAAGCAGTGTAAAAGAGCCGCAGTAAAGCACGACGTACACTTGCTAAGCACTTTGAAAAGCTTTCGTTTCGAGTGAAACGAGGCAAACAGATGTCACAACAAACGGCAGTCAAGCTGTAAAGTTGTTACTTTTTTCTGCAATAATATTTTGGTTTTAAAAGACTTTTTACTTATAAAATCAGTAACAGGAAAGAAAGCTTTACTTTTAAGTTTAATACAATAAATTGACTCTAGTTGCTACTACTTGCGTTCATTTTGAATTTTAACTGAAAAGATTTATTAAAATAGTCATACGGAGAATGCTAAAGATAAGATGAGAAGTACGTTTGATATGAATTATTAAAAAAGGTTGTTGAAGGGAAAGCTGATCTAAAGTCAATAAAAAGGTAAAAGTTTTCGCAATTACAATAGGATAACTATTAATACCTTCTAGGTCAAAAAAATTGAAGTATTTAATAGAAGCATATAACAATATAAAATGTGTATATGGACAAAAAATTTATTAACAATATATATATAAATACACTAAAACGTGAAGCTACTAACGTTACTATTACTTTGATTGTAATTTGAAGAAGTGATATGTCCATCAATTGCTATAAAATATTTTTTTAACTTTCATCTTTTTATTGCTTAATAATTTCATTTTACCTTCGAGGTTTTTGCTTTTACAAATACAGTTTAGTTAGTATATCTTTAAGTTAGAAGCAAGCAGGAAACAGCAAAGCTTTCTTTATTGTTACTTGTAAATAATACTTCTTTAGTTTCTGGAACCAGTGGAATTTAAATTAGAAGAGATCTCACACAAATTGTTGTATTTTTAAAGGCAAAAAAACAATAGATTAATAACATTATTATTATTATTATAGTCTCCACCAGATAAAATGCAACTGCTGCTACTCACTAGAATAGTTTTAAATATCCTATTCTATTAAGTTTGAATAATTTATAAGAAATTAACTATTTTCCTTTTATACCACCAAAACGCTACCGTAGAAGGGTCTAAGTTAGCCTTTTGTAAAGGCCAAACTTTCAGAAAAAAACTTACAACTCATGTTTAGGGTAGTCTTTACTAAAACCCTTTTGAAAAGGATTTTCTATGCTTCACCTTTCCTAATTAAAAGCCTTGCCTATGCTATTTGATATGTTAAAGTTACGTTTGTATTAAAGTTGATTTTATCATCTTATAGCCACAGAACCATGATGCAACGTGTTTATAAAAGTAATAAATTAGTAAAGGCGATATAAGAAAAAAAAATTGTTTTTAAATATACACAGGAAACAGAGTTTTGCTTAGCGGAAGAGTAAGAGTTACCAAGCTCAATAGCTAATTACTTTTTCTAGCTTATAAAATAAATTTAAGTTTAAGCAAATTAAAGCTAGAAATTCTGGGTAAATATTTTGTGTTTTAACTGTAAATGCGTAAGAAAATTGTAAATATATAAAAATGCCATGAATAATAAGTAAAGAATGAGAGCTAAGTGAAACTTGAGTAAGTGCTGCATTACCTAGAAAAACTTATTTTTCAAACTTTAATTAGCTAATGTTTATAGTAAAATGTTTATAATAAAAATTGTTATATAATAAAGCTCAAGCAAAGATTTGTAGGTTATACAGTTGCTAAGTTTTTGTTTTACCAATTCTTTATTGAATAATATTCGTCGACTTGAGGGTAGAGGACTGAAAACCGTGAAAGAAGTTCAGCTCTAGACATTTTCTTGTAACTAAAAAAGCAATAGCAATGAGTTTTTTGCTTGGTATTGGAGAATGGGACGATGTTTCAGAAGGAGAAGAAGAAGAAAAAGTAGAAAGTCAACGTTATTTTTATTCGAATAGGGACAGGTGATTACGTTTAGATATGTTGATTGATTTTGGTTAATATTATAATATATAAAGTTTAATTTTCTTAGTGGATTGCCATCCAAGTATGTTCAAAGTGAGTGAAACTGGCCCTAGTCATTTTCAGCAAAGCCTTAAATGTGTTGTGGATTGCATGACTTCCAAAATCATCTCGAGCGATTCTGACTTTGTTGCAGTTGTCTTTTTTTCAACACGCGCTTTGAATAATTTAAATGACCTCCCTAACGTATTTGTTTTGCAAAATTTAGAACAAGTAAACCTTTTTTTCTAACCTCTTTTACTTTCTTTTGAAGCTTTTGTTATACAAGGTAAGCGCTAAAAAAATACAAGAAGTAGAATCTTTTTTGCAACCCGATTTTGATTTTGATCAGATATACGGTCCAAAACAAAATTGCTTTCGATTAAACTTTATCATAATCTAAATTGTACAAAGAAATTTAGTATTAGCATCCAATAGTAAAAAATTATTTTTTAAAAAAATTAATAACTGTATCTTTTGCAGAAGACAAATAAATTGTGTAAACTTATTTGAATAGTAGCTCCACATTTTACAACTAATTTACAGGATCATGTAACACATTTTCGTTATACGATACTTTTTGGATCTGCGCTACACTGTTTAGCGCCAGGTGTTTATTTTTAATTTAATTTTACTTTTCATTATAATAATTCGAGCTTTTTACACTCTTTTGTCTTTGCAAAGATTTCAATTTTGGCTTACATACTTTATATTATTGTATTTTTTTACACTTATTTTTTTCCCCACTTTTGTCATACTCCGCAGCATTTACTTTTTTTTTCAATTCTGCCTTGAATGTCCAAATTGAAAAAGTTAATTTTTAAATTTTTTGCTCACTTGTAAGCTTTAAAACTTGCTAGCGTTGAACTCTGATCCCTTTTTTACTATAATTTGAAAATGATAATTTTTCATTATATCATGTTTTACTCCTTTTTAAATGTAAAGTCCGTTGAAATTATGCACGAAGCGTTTATTTTTATTCACCAACCAAGACGATCCTCATTCCGAAGATGAGAAACAAAGGCAGCTTGCTAAAGTGAAAGCTCAAGTAGAATTAAAAATATATATACCATTTGTGAAGTTTTTGCTTAATATCATTATTATTAGGATTTGAGAGATATTGGCGTGCATATTGAACTTATACACTTGGCCAAAGTCGGCCAGATTTTCGACATCGCCAAATTTTATTCTGTTTGTATCCATATATATATATATATTATAAAGGAAATTATTTTCAAGTTTTTAGCAAAGCAAAAGTATGTAAAATTTGAGATGCAAATTTCTTTTTAGCAATTTTTGTTACAATTACGAGTGAAAAAAACTTTTATAAGTAAACAGAAAAAAGTAAACTATTTTTTATATTTACTCCTTAATACTATATAAATAATTTTATTAAAATAATAATAAACATAAAACAGACAATACTAATAACTTTTTGAAGTTAATATAGAAATTATTGATTAAAAAAATTTTGAAAACAAATATAAAATATAAATATTATAAGACTAAAAAAAAATTATAATATTAATAATTTTAAAAAAAGTAAAAGAAAATAGTAAAACTTCCTATAGGAACTTTTACTAATGGACGAAGAAGTCATTGCGAGTTTCCCTTCCGCATCTTCCAAAATGGAAGAACTTCAAGAACGAATGCGCATAAAGGTTTTTTTTTTCTGCCCCCCTTCTTTAAACCGCCCCAATTTTCCTATTTGGACACAAAATAACCATTTATTGGCTACTTTTACACGGGGTTACAAGGGATTGGTGGTGTTTTTGTATTTGTTTATTATCTCAGTGGATTAATATATTCCGTTATTTGCGCTACCTTACTGTGAGCAGCAGTTTGCAAAAAGAGCGCTGGTGAGGATGTGCTGGACTATTGGCGAAGGCAAGTTTATATACATGCTGATTGGCTCTTGCGGATGCTTGTCATTTTTTTTTAAGGAGTCGAAGTTGGCATACAAGTGTACAAGCTCGTGTCTCGCACGTGCAAACCGAACTATATATGGCTCGATGCTAGAACCAATGAACAGTTGAAGCTCACTTCGGCTTATATTAATGAGGTTACTATAGTCATTATAGTTTATGATACTTCTACTCATTATAACTATAGAGGACGGGAGCTCCTATAATGAACTGCGATATAAAGCGCTCTTATATTTATGGTTCGTGTGTTTACTCGGTGATTTTCGTTAGATTATTGCTTAGGCATTGGCCAGGCGGAAGAGAAGTTATCTTTGATAGGGAGGAAGTGAGGCAGCTTAAAGATTCATTTGAGCCCAGTTTTCTCTTATTTTAGTGACTTCCTATTAACGTATTAAGTCATTTTTACGGGGAGCTCAGCTTTTATGTTGCTGGGATTTGTGGAGGATCGGTTTTTGAAGCGCTACTATTCTCTCCGGCCATGCGATTTTATATATCCCGATGAAAGTGTAAGTTTTTTTTAATGAATACCAGAAAAAAAGTTGGCATGAGTTTATGTAATGTGAGCAGCTCGTGGAAGGAAGCATTGTATTTTTTAACGCGTTGCTAAACCAGTGCCTGGCCAAAAAAAAATATCCCATGTGCTGGGCTAACTACCGTGTGGGCGGTGTCCCCCGTATGGTTTGCCTCCTTCCGCAGGTTTCTAATGCATATTCCTTTATAAAGTTTTCGGGTCTATATTTGGCGTGTAGGCGGAAGAAAGAGACGAGTGTAACCTTCAAAAAATGAGTGCTGGTTTCCACGTGGTCTATCTGCCTTATGCGGACGACATTCGGGAGTTACATTTTGAGAAAATGGACGCTGGTTTGTACATTTTTTCCCCGCCAAAAAAAGCATATATATATATATTACTGTAGCCACTGAAGAGCAGACCGAAAAGGCTACTGCCGTTATTGAAACTTTTCTAAGCGAATACGATCCGATACTGATCGAAAATCCGTCTCTGCAGAAGTACTACAGAAACCTTGAAGCTCTTGCATTGGATAAGGACTGCCCGGACGACTTTTTCGATGCGACTCTTCCGGTTGATCTTGATCACTTTTGCACTGTTAATATATGGAATAAACGATGATGAAGGACCTTGAAAAAATGGAATTGCTTGGAGGCGAGTCTATACAAGAATGGAGCAAAACCATCAATGCCGCTCCTTATGTGCTTCCTTTTGGCTCTTTTTCAGCGTCACCGTTGAATATATAAAAACAATAGAAATGTGCGGCTAAAAATAATTATATTCCTAACTTGAAACACGGAGACAACGATGAAGTTTATAACAAAGTTAAAAGTTTCTACATAGATAATAAGGTAAACACATAGGGGTCTATTACCACGTAGGCAGTGCGCCGGTCGAGTTTGTACCTGTAATGCGCTTATAAATATATTTATTTGAGTCTCATAACTAATAACTCCTTTTCTATTTTTTAAAAGCTGCCCAAATGCACTGTGGAACACCTAAAAACTTTTTGTTGGCATGTGGGAGAAGCGGTTAGTTTTATTTGTTTGCTCTAGTAAGTAACAGACGAAGCTGAAAACCTTTTGCCGGGCCGTTTTTACTTGGTGTAATAAATATGTGCGCCTGCCCAATTACGGAGCTTTTGTATACTAATTAATGCCAATTTACAAGCAGGTCTCTGGAAAAAAGTCCCACCTGATTGAAAGAGTTATTTCCTACTTTGAAAGAGAAGATCAGAATTCATAAAGCTTCATATGCAATAAATAAAGTTTTCATTACTTAAGCTAAAAATTTTTGGTAATTAAAGTATATTATAAATAAAAAGTAAAAAACAAAAAGTTTAATGAATAATGCGCTCCATAATGGACTAATGAAAAGCCATGTGCTCGAGCAACATATCCGACTGAGGACGGAGACCAATCAGGGCACGAAAAAGGTTCTCAATAGCATTACGCTGGCGAAAGAGAGCATTCACTACTGGCGCACCTGCCGGGACGAGGGGCGCCTTAAGCATGTAAGAGAGTATAGAAAGAATCGAGTGAAACGCGTCAAACTCCGGCATCTCCGCCGTTTTATACTGGACTCTAGTCATTAACTCAGTGATGAGAACTAAATCTATTATTATGGGAGAGGCCAAAAGGGAATCTTCGCAGGTATTGTGTATCGAAATCGTGTTACGGCCCCCCATAAAGATCTCAGACTCGTATTCATCAAGTGCTCTCTTAGAATCCTTAACGCTGGGAACATACTTTATAACAACAACGTGGTCAGGCTTTTCTCCTTCTTTGTACAAAATATTGTTACAAGCCACCATGTCATCTACAACAGTTGATTTTGAAATTTCTTTTGACTTAAATTGAGATGGTGCGGATAAGTTCAAGCCATCATTGTTGCCTAAATGGTTATAAGAAGTAATGGCTACTGGTTTGATGCCGGCGCTAACCAAAAAATCCACCAAGACAGATTTAATTTTTGTTTGTCCAGACTTAAAGTCGTCGCCACCGATATGCACGCGGTGCTGTTCAGCTAATTCTACAACTCCCGGAACGAAGGTATTCTGCGGTGAGCCATTAATAAAAGGGCTGTTTTCAAGAATACTTGCAACTGCGAAAAGGGTAGAAGGTGATACTTCTTCATGATTTTCTTTGATGGCTGATAACAAGTTTTCAGCACTGTCATTGATACCAGGCAAAAGAGAAGAAAAACGTTCAGTGTTAGCGGTCCAAACAACAACGACTTTATCAAGTTGGTTTTTACTTTTAAAATCTCTAATATTCTTACGAATTGTCTCCAAATGGTACTGCTTCGTTCCAGATAATACATTATCAGCTCGGCTTTGTTGGTTAGAAGCAATAAAATCAGGATAGTACACAGAAGGCATTGGGATAAGGTCTTTCATATAGGGGTTAAGTTTTTGTTTTAAATCGGGTTCCAGAACGCAAGAACGATCTAAAGAAGCTGCTAAGTTCAAGCGACTAATATCCCAACCACCTATTACTATATCGTTCGGATGAACCATGGGTAAAAGCTGATAAAAAGGAACATAAACAGCAGACTGTTGGGCGTTAAAGCCAAGCTTAACAGTTGAGCTCATGATAAGAGAGCCGTAATAATTGGAATGATGAGTGCCATAACGAGTTTCCCAAGTAAGAAAATGCCTATTTGCCAATATTGAGGCAGTTAAGGTAGAGCCGTTATTACCTCCCCACCCCACAAGTAAAAGTCCAAGTTTAGGAATCGTCGTTGAGGTTTTAAAAATATATTCGGTAGACTTCGGAGTTGCAATATAATTGTTATCTTCCTCATATGAAACATGGGTACTTTCATAAGAATACCGGGATATAATAAGATGCTCTACGTCGTCATAGTGCACATCAGGAGAATTAACTTTCACAGAAACCATTTGCTAAATTATTTAAATTTATAAAAATAAAAGTTCTAAATAAGAGACTACCAACCAAAAATATTGCACCCACCAGAAATTATAAAAAATATAAGCATATACAAAAGCAATAGTTAACCAAGCAGGCGACACAAAGCTAATATCCGATCTATAAAAAATGTTTTTGCGATTCCACGCGGTTGAAAACAGCAAATTAAATCACGAGGCATGTTGGGTGGCCGAACAGTGTATCTTAGTAAAGGCTTACACCCATCAAATGCTTATATGATTAACCCGAGTTACAATAGTGTTGTTCAGGCCCTGTACGAGAAAAAAACTACGAAAAATTTGGTTTTACGCGTCAAAAAATTATTAAATTGTTAAAAAATCTGTTAAGATTTTTCTCAATCTTAGCCTATATTTAGAAAGCTACAAAGTTAATAAAGAAACCTATTTTTACAAAATTAGCAAGCTATGTGAAACGTTGTTTTTATGAAAATGTTATAAGAGTTAAGATATCTTTTACTAAGTAGAGTTATCCTTTAAATGCATTAAACTTTTTAGCTTAACCTTTTGTGATTTTTTCTTATTTAGGTGGGCGTCCCTTGTTTACTGTAGTGGGAAGTATAACACATTTAATTAGATTCACCACTATTGCCTTACGTGGATAACTATGATATATCTTTTTAAATGGGACACTATTGTTGAATTTTAAAAATCATATCTTACTGACGTTTCCTTTTTGTTGTTTAGTAGTTACAACTTATCATATAAGGAATTTACTCATACCCAAAATCGTGGCAAGAAGGATTAAGTAGGTAGTCAGCAAATTTAAGAGAAACATAGCAAAAAAGGACGAAAATAGTTTCATTGGGGGAAAGAGATACTTAAATGTACGGTACAATAAATTTGATTTAAACAGTTTGTTTAAGAATACAACTATATTTTCATAGTCGAGTTTAACATAACTATTATCGAAGACGAGCAAAAAGGAAGAGTAGAGTTGGTTATGAATTGACCCAAGAACAAGGTAAAGTCAAGTTCGAGGAAGAAAAAGTTATTAATAATAATTATGAATCTTTTTTTTTCACCAAGTACAGCTTGCTTCAGCAGTTATAAGTTTTTATTTACAAGAAGGTATAGTAATAACAAAGAAAAGAATTGACATAAGTTTTGAGGAGGAATCCTGTGAAAAGTACGTTAAGCGGTTTTTTAAGGGCATTATCCCTTTTTTAAATTTTTATAATTTAATAATATTTATGTCCTTCTGCCTTCTCGAACTTTAACAATTATTTTTCTTGAAAATGACTTCATAATTCTATATTTAATCTTTATAAGGTAAATAACGATGGAGGACTCCGTACAAAAAAAAATTTGTAGAAAAGAATTATTTGTGAGAAGTTTATAGGGCAATTTAACTAAAAGATTTACTCGTTAAGTATAGTTTTTACGTATTCACTAATATACTTTTATAAAAAAATTCCATTTTTTGCAATTATTTAATTAGTTTTTTTTTGTTTATTAAAAAATCGTTTCTGACTTTGAGTATACGTGAAATTGAAAGTTTAAAATTGCTATGGGGTTTATTATACCATGTCTTACTGATATAGTTATATATATATAATCATATTTTTATTTTTTTGAAACATGGCAATAATATAATACAAAAAGTTAGACTTATATTTAACATAAACTTATAAGAATTTTTTCATAATACCTTTTACCTGTACTAAAAAACAATATTATTGAAATTTTGTTATATTAACCACGAAAATCATATATTCGATTTTGTCTAAGTTTTTCTATTTGACGCTTTATGCATAGGTGTTATATATATATTGCACTTTATAAATTTAAAGTAATGAATGCATGCGTTGTATAAAGCTACCTTGTATATAAAAAAACTTAAGTGCGCTATTTCTTATATTTCTTATATTGTTGGCTTAACATAATTACTTTTAAGTTTTTAATATAAATTTTTTTTATAAAGAATCTACTGTATATAACTAAATAAATTGTTTAAAATTGAAAACCTTACGAACGAAATTTTTACCTTTAATTTTCACAAAAATTGTACAAGTTCATAATTTGAATAGGCATAATAACTCTACTTTTTTGGTTTTCTATGTAGATAAATCTTTTAATCTACTACCTTCAAAGAAATTTTTTCGTAATTTTTTTTAATAATAAAGGCTTAATTAAAGAATTCTCTTGGGGAGGCCCGGCTATAACAACGTTTTAAATAGGTTCATTAGGCTAGTATTATCTTCCTAGTAGCAGATGAACTGTTGCTACTGTCTCGAACCTATACTATTCTATTCAGTTAGGTACTAGCTTCGACGCTACGAGCTTTGTACAACATATCTAGTCTGCTAACCTATTGGGTGAAATTACCTCATAATCCAACGCGGATTTTATATACTAGCGTTGCCGTCCGGAGACAATCCTCTGTAAAAAGCTATGGACGAGCTGTTTGAAATCTATGTGTTCTACCTACTATTAAACTTTACGGATTCAGCTAAGTTGCATACGTGCTACTACTTATAAGTCACTAACCGCGTGCGAAGGCTTTTGTTTAGAAAGGCGTATGTAATGAGTAACGATGGTAGCACTAGCTCAGTTTCCGTGAGCCACCTGTCGGATCTTTCTTGTGATTTAAGACTATAGATTAATACTTCTATTATACTAGTTGTCATCTTCGGATTGTCGCTTGTATAGTACTCGTATTGTCTCGTTCTCTTGACCAGCTTTGGACTGGGTGTACTCTTTAACCGGTTCGCCTTGTCCTTTGGTTCGCTTTGACCGTTAATGTATAGTGCTTGTTACTATAGTAGGCTCGTCCTAGTATGGTACTGGCATTGTATGGAATAGTGTTAATAGGTAATAGCGCTATTATTATTAGTCCATCTACTATATAATATACTAGACCCCATACTATAGTAACAAGTACTCTTCGATCGAGCCGGAACTCAACCGATTTCGTTGCACCAAGCATAATATAGTATATGCACTAGCAGCTGCCCGAGCTACCATATTTCTCCTCTATTTCTCAGTGTCCTTCGTCCTTTAAAGACAGTCATTGTACTTCTTTGAAACAGCTGGAATGCAGTTCTGCTGAAAGAACGACCTTAGCGTGCAGCTTTACAGAAAAAAAATCAAAAGATTTAACAATTATTCTTCTGCTCTTGCACTTTTGTTCCCGTTTTTCGTTAGACTTAGCTCTGGCCCAAGGAAGAAAAAAGTAGACAATGCTAGATCTAACTAAAGCTCAGTGGGCTATTATTTTATGAATTTTTTAAATGTGTGAAATAAGATACTTTATAATGAAAGCATAATGTTATAAAGAAATTCATAATAGAGTAGGAAAAACCAATTTTACAAGGCTCTGTCAAGCATACGAAATGCTAAATAAACAAAAAAATTGCATAATAAAAATCGAAATTAATTTTCTTTTAACTATACCAAAAGGCACAGGTTACAAAAATCTTTTTAGCGGTAAGTTCCTTTTATTTATAATTTACAGATAAACAATAATTCTTTATATTATGAAAAAATATATATTTGTGAGGTGCCCAGCGATTAGAGTTTACAGTTCAAATCGTTACTTTTGAACTTATTGTTGTGGCGCTCTTCTAAATCTTTTGGAATAAGCTCTAATAAAAAGTTTACTTTTTTCTCTACAAGATCAACTCTCCAAGTTTCTATTTCAAAATCCTAATATAAAATAATTACAATTATAAAAGACCTGTAATTGCAAGCAGACTAAGCATAAAATTATGATATGATGTTTAAAAAAAATACTTTTTCCTCGCCATAAGTTGTTCTACAGTTTGGAACGTTGGTAGTTAAATTATTAATGTGAGAACGCAAAGTATTACGGACCTAGCGAAATTGGTTATTTATAGAAGTTCTTGTCCCCTTACAAGAAAAGCTTTATAGCTACCGAAGTTAAATAGGATGTGTACTTATTTACATGCTTAACAACAAACTGAACATCAGGATGGGGCCCGGAGAGATGCTCAAACACAATGGAGGCTTCACATAAGGCGTTTAAGATTTTCTATTTTAAAATTTTCTTTATAACATATTAATCAACAGTTGATAACGGATTTACCTGCTCGACTACTCTTAACCCTGCTAGACAATCTGTGGGTAACGAGGAGTCCCGGTTTACCGTAATACTTAGGTCGTTGCTTTCCATTCGACTAAGTATTAGGCTGCATACCAACCCACGTATAACTGTACTAGTGGATAGGCATCACGTTTTACTAAAATATCCTGAGCAACCAAGAATTACATTTTCTAAAGTTTATTTTATTTTTGCAAAGATTTAGCAATGTAGTCTTTTTTAATAAAGTAGTTTCTTACGAAAATGTCATTGTTTTACTATTCTAAAAAGATTCTGTGTTTAAAATGCTAAATTATATGTGGATCACCCCTGAAATATTATTAATCTTGGTACAAACTTAAAAATCTTGACAGTTGTGTTTTAAGGGGAGAGGAGTAAAGCAAAGTTGCTAATTTTCGATGTAAAGACTTTTATATACACATAATCAATTTTTTTTTATATTAACACTTTTTTTAATCTGCATATGAATTTTTAATTTAATTTAATTTATTTCACATTCATAGCTATTTAGTAAAAAGTCATGTGTGGGAGGTTAATGACTTTTTTTACAATGTATCCGACTATATTTAAAGACAACCGTTTTCATAAGCAGTGAATTACTGCTCACATATTAATCTATTTATACTTTTTCTTTTGCTTAAGAGCAAAAGATAAAAATAGTACTTTTTATTTTACAAATAGAGTTATGGTTATTTTTTACGACTTATTAGAGCAGCCTATATACGATCGTGAAGATGTTATAAACAGTAACGCTCGACGTAAAACTAACAATAAATATAGTAATAGGAAATATAAACAAAATAAAGTTGATAATAACGGTACTACTACTACTACTACTAATAATAATAATAAAGCTAACCAATTAAAGCACCGGTTTGGCAACAATGAAGTACACACCCGAAGTAAGCCAGATGAAACTTATCAGTCGCCTTATATCATTTATGATTATTCAGAACTCAATGCTGCTGCCGAAGGTGATATACTCCTTTAAGAGTGTTCAAAATTATTTAGTTAATTTTAACGAGTTTAAATTTTTATAAAACATTTTAGAAATCTTACTTGAGCACCCCCCCTCGAAATCTGGCATTTACGTTACTTTAGAAAAAAGTTTTTCTAATAACTTTTTTTGCCAAAGCACTTTGGGTATAAACTCGAACGTCCCCCATTATGTTGGTTTTAAATATAATACCTTTAAGGGTACGCTATAAATAAAGTTTAATTGTAATAATAAGCAAGTTAATGTACGTTTTTGCTCCCTAGCAACCGATCATGCAAATTTTTACCTCCCAAAACCAGCCGCTTCGGGTAAGATCATTGAGTACTTCTTATTAATAACTTTTAAAATATTTATTTGGAGGAATCTCGATAATTGGATTTTTGTTTAGCGACAAAAGTTTGGAGTTCCAATTTGAACAAGCTCGCCGAAGATGGCATGTTTTAGCCAACTCTCTATTGACAAATCGAGAAAACTTTGTACTATATTTCAATTTTGTATATTAATTATAGCAAACTACATGATATCCTAGAAGTATTTTAAATAAGAAATTTTTTAATACCCCGTAGACTAAAAATTTATATACGTTTAATATTTTTTAGCGTAATTTTTCTATTTTATCATATTTATATATAAATTACCTTGTCTTTATACAGTTTAGTGGCTTCCTCCGTTATAACTTTAAAAAGTTTGGCTTAAAGCTTTCTTATGTGTCCGACGATCAAATTTTAATCTTAAGCAGTTTGCATTCTTTAAGTAAACAACTGTTTTTCGGTGGTGAACTTTTGTTTAGCCTCGCTCGAAAGCTTCCTGGAGGTACTCACCTCGATCTCAATGTAATAAATAAATTTTTTAATTTTTTAAAAAAAAAATTTGTAATTTTAGTAAAACAAAACTTTTTTATATATAGCAAATACTACGTAAAAGTGGTTAATGATAATTTCTATGTAATAATAAATTAGTAAGATGCTATAAAGTAAAAATTATAGAAGTCCTTGTTTATAATTATTTTATTAGTTACTTATTAAAAATAAAGTTTATATGTTTTTAATCAATATTAAATAATTTAATTTTCAGTGAGTTTAGTAATTAGTTTGAAGTCAGATCAAGTTATAATTTTAATTTTTTTTTTAAAAAAATAGCTTAAATTATGTTTGTTTAAATTTTTTGTTCTAAAATTTGCGCAATTATTTTGAAATTAATTTCAACTATTTTAGCATCTTTGGGGGTTCGTTACGAAGATGGAGCCTCTGCTTTTGTAGCTACTTTGAGCCCCTTTACTGGACACTTGGCTACTTCCTACACTGCTTTGATGCTAAAAGATTTCTCCATGTCTACGAGGTTTTCTAGAACAACATTTTAATTAATTTTTTTATTGATATATTGAAATTTTATATGTAATTTAATTTTTAGATACGAGTATAATCTTTTTAGCGCCTTAAGCGATTTATCCGTTGGAGTGGAAATTCTTCCTAATCCACATTTTAAATTTAAATTTCGTGTGGGACTTCTTCAGGTAATTTTTTCTTTTGCCTTTCTTTGGGGATTCTTAAGTTAATTTAATAAATTTTGATTTTAAGGGCCTCGGCTTAATGTTCAATTTTAATTTCCCACACTTCTCTTTTACGCTCTCGGCGCACGCGAAATCTGATTCCCTCCGTGCACCGCTTTTTAATTTCGAACTTAATATTCATTAAACATTACTTATATATTTTCTAAATAGAAATTTTTGATATATATTAATATAATAAAGAATTATTTATTAAGCTTTAAATTAATCAAAAATATATTGTTTTATAAATTTTTTTTGATAGTTAAAAATTTTAAATGACAAAAATAATATGAATTTAGAAAACTTAATGAAAAGAAAAATATTTTTGAGAATCATTAAAAATAAAAATAGTTAATAAAAAAATGCTTGCGCCGTTATGTATTTCTATTTTTAGTTCCAGTTCTTCATAGTATGTGTTTCCTGTATTGTAGGGGAATATATATTTGTCCAATAAAAACAAAAATTTACATGTTATTAAAAAATAAAAACAGTAGAAAATTTTTTTTCTATATATAACACATAGCAAAGCAGTTTCTATAAGGATTTTAGGAGTTTGACTTTTTGCAATATTTTAATCGGGTGTCTAGAGCGTTGTTTTATGAGTTGATCTCACTGTTACCTGATATAAAATTTTGCCGATGTTATAATTATACAACTTTTTTTTATTAGTAGAACAAATATAATTTTAAAGCATAAAGAATCTCTAGCTAAAAAACAAAATAATCTGGATGGGAATGCAGAGCAAAAATGTTTTTGAAAGATTTGCTTACAGAGAAATTTTTCAAAACAAATTATCCCATATTTACAAATTGTCTATCAAAATTCTTTGGAAATTTGTAATGTCATTAAAAAAGGGTTGCCCTTTTATAATTTTAGCGCATACGGATACGTTAAAGGTTTGCTTGTGATAAAGAATTATAAGGCTACGCCGCTTATTAAAAGTTCTGCAGTGACTAGGATTAAATTCACTTTTTAGAATTATAAACGAATAAAAAACTTTAAATTTTTGGATATTAAAGATCTCTCCTTTAAAAATTTTAAAGCACTACCTTATAAACAAATTTTTACTAATAATAAAACTAAGAATCTCGTTTTCTATCTTATTTTTAGAATTTTCGCTAAACGTAAGCTTTACCTACTTGCTTATGATGCTTTAATGCTAAAAAATAATTCATTTTATAGATGGTTAAAAGCAACATTGCTAGAAGTTTCAACTGAAGGTATTAAACTATTCCCGAAGTAGTTTTTATTACGTCCCGAAAATCTTAAGAACTTGAGCTTTTCGCAGTAAAAGGAACGAAAAGAAAGCAACCCATCTCAGAATTAGTGAATATTACTTTTGACATAGCAGTTAAATATTTATTTAGAAGAAAATCTAATATATAGAGCTTTTCTGCAGTAACGGTTAAGCAGAAGTATAAACAAGATTTTCTGGCCAATGGACTAAAAATTGAAGCCGTAAAAAAGGTCAGTTGGCTGCCTTAGTTAAAAAGATAAATAAAGCACATTAAAAAGCAAATAAAACATGATCTCGAGCATAAAGTAGCAATATAGTGAGAAAATAATTTTTATACGCAGTTAAAAAAAAAAAAAATTCTGTCAAAAGAGATTTTGGGAGTATAATGGTGCTTAAAAAAAAAAGTCATCTTAAAAACATAAAGCTTGTAAAAGCCAATTTTAAGTTAAAAATGGACCAAGATCTCGAACACAAGATTTATTGACAAATTATTTTAAATAAACAAATATACTAAAAAAGGACGGCCATCATTGAAATCTTTATTTCAATCTAAGGCATTTCTATATCTAAGGTATATTTGGTCACTACAATTCAACTTAAAATTAGTTAAAAGATTTAAAATTTCTATTTTTTTTAAAAAAAAAAGGAGTTTATTATCAATGTAGGTATATTTAAGTAATTTTTTTACAAGTTTTTTAAAATATAAAAAATTTTGTATAGCTTGACTTTAATAATATGAAAAGAAGAACTGTCGATGAAATCAACTTGCTAACTCTTTACTTTTATATTTAAGTACTGCTTTTTTATATTTGTTTTCCTAAATATAAGAAAGCGACTTAACTAGTTACTTTATAGCATATAAATAAAACTTTATATACATGAAACACTCAAAAGTGTTCAACCTTAAAAAAATAAATATAAACTTCAAGAAAACTGTTTTAATTATTTAATTTTCTGCTTAACGAACTGATAATTAAAATATTTACCATCTATAAATTTATTTAACAAAAAGCTTTTAGCCTTCTTAATATTTATTCTTTAAGGTAAATTCCAATGCACTTAATACTTTTCTTCTGGCAAGAATGAAACATATTAAACTTACAAGAAAGTTCTTTTACACTTAACGCGTGCTTCAAATTGTACTAAACTAAATTTGAAAACAGGAGACACAATAGAATTTTAATAAAGTAAACTTTTATATAATCAAAAGTGCGGAATGCATTTAATTACTAATAAAATATTTTAAAAAAATAAAAAATCTATATGAAGTTTAACACAAAATTTAGTAAAAGTGTAGATTCTGTCCAACATAATTTGTAGTAGTTATTAATAATAAAAATGTGCGTTTTTAATTATTTTTGTTAGTAATAATTAATAAAAATATTTAAAAGAAGGATTTTTTAAATTTACTATTTTTTTTTTTAAGTTTGAAAATTACAATAAAATAACCAAGAATTCATAGTAAATATTTAAATCCGAAGCGATTAAAACTCAGAAGGAACGTAAATTTGCAAAACAAACTTTTAAAGAGTCGCAAATTTCTAACAAGAAGTAATTTTTTTAATTACTACTGACTTTCACATATACGCCACAATCCTCAACATTAGCATCCAAAAAATTACGTGGACCTTCACAGTTGTACTTATTATTATTATTGTTAGAATTATTATTATTAGTAGCACTATTATTAATGTTATTATCAGTATCACTATTATAATTACTATTATTATTATCACTATTCTTATCACTATTATTATTTTCTGTATTATTATAACTGCTTCTTCCACAAACGCAAGCCCGCCGCAAGGGCAAAGCGTGAAGAGTCCTACACAAAGCCAAAGACGGTTTCACAATGGTGCACGCGGCAAAGATCGATTCCGGAAGTTCTTCTTCGCTGTTAATAATAACAATAATAATAAGCTCTTAAATTAATAATTAAAAAATATAACAAAAAAGCACTCAATACATTATTTTTTAATAAAAAATAGAAAAAGCGAAACAATAAATAAACGCAAGTAATAAAAATAAAGCATCTCAATAAAGTTTTTATATAAAACTTAATAATAATGAAAATTAAGTAAATAGTCATATACATAATAATAATAAATTAACAAAAAAAAAAGCAACGCACACACCAAACACCCTCCAACAAGTAAATCAAGTCGATGGTAAGCCCGCTGGAAAACTGCAAGCAACGACTGCACATGAAATTTGCAAAACTGGAACTGCTCGTGTCGCACTCGACTTCGCACCAGTCCCGATTCGCTCGAAACACGTGACTAACTCGCTTGGCAAGAAGACCTGTTTTTTAAATTAAAGACAACCAAAATAAGATAATGAAGCGCAGTTAAATGAAGTTGGAGTACCAACTAAATTTGTCAACAAAACAAAACAAAACTAAAAAAAAAGGTAGAAGTAAAAATAATTCAAAATAAAAATAAAAATAAATCATATAAAAAATATAAAAAGGAGAAAAAGAATAAAATAATATATTTTACTAAAGAATTAATAAAAAAGATTACTTTCTATTTTTAAGTTGTCCAATTTGAAAATAATTACTTTTAATAAAAAAAATTTCAATTTTTATATAGAAACCATAATTAAAGTTAAAGTAATTTAATAGTTAAAAGTTGTTTTAATATAATTTTTATATTAATCACAAACAAAATTATTCGTTATTATTAAATTGATAAAATTTAAGACTACCATTTTTATTTCTAATTATAATTTAACATTATTATTATTATTATTACAAGGCCGAGTGGAAACGGCACTTCTCAGCATCCGGTTCCCTTCAATGATTCTAAAGTAAAACATTTTAAACTAAATAAAAAGTTTTGAAACAGTCACGTAAAGAAAATAATAAACAATATAAATTCATTTAAAAAGGCTGCAAAAAACTTCATTTCAAAAATTCAAAACTGCTAATAGTAAATTCTATAATAAAAAGGAATTCATAATTTAATTAGATGTTAAAAAAATTGATAAAAAAGATATAAAAAATTTAGTAAATAAATTAGTTTAAAAAATTCAGAAATAATAAATTTAAAAAAAAGTATGAAAAGCATATATTAATAATGTAATTATAAAAAAAATTTCGGAATAAAAAAATTAAAAAAAATATATAATTATTAATAATTTGCCTAAAATTTAAACAATTTTATATATATGAAAAGTAAATCATAATAGAACATTTATTGTTTTACTGTAAAACAATAAATATTAAAAATTTTTATAATAAATATAAAGAAAATTAGGAGTAATAAATTAAAAAAGTAAATTTATGGTAAAAATAAATTCGCTTTGAAAAAGTTAAATGAAATTTATTAAGAATAATTTATTCTCAAAAAAATGAATTTTTATAAGGAAGTTAGATTTTCTCTTAAAAAGTTTAATAAAAAATTTTAACGAATCGGGGGGGGGGGGAGATTTAAAGAAAAATAAAATTATAATTGGCCCAAAATTTAGTTTTTTTTAAAATTTTCTATAATAATAATGTTATTTCAAAGAAAGGAAACCTAAAAAATAAAAATATTAAATTAATTTTACTAATCAAAAAATATTTTTAAAAAAGCAAAAAAGTAAAACAATAAAAAAATTTATACTTGTTCATCAATAAGTAAATTAATACTAATAAAAAGTTAAAATTTTATTTAAATATAATTTCGTAAGCAGTAAAGTAAATAAAAAAAAATTAAAAATTATTAAATTTATTAAACAAGAAAAAGTATTAAAAAAAATAATTTATTCAAAATTTATTAATAAAAATATTTCCGTTGTTATTTTTATCTTAGATTAAAATAAAAATAAATTTTTATATTATATATTTAACGACTTTAATCAAAGTTAATTCAAAAAAAAAAAAGATTTGATTATATATCATATTAATAAAAGTAAACTACTTTAACTATAACAACTTTTGTTAAGTAAAATTATTAAAAAAACTTTTAGTAAAGAAAAAAAAATAAATAATAGTAAAGATTGAATTAATTTGTATAAAGTAAATAAAAGTTTTTTTATAATTTTTTTTAATTTTGATAAATTTAAAAATATTAATCAAAATTAGTTCAAGAAAATAAAAAGATTTAATATATAAATAATAATAATTATATTTGATTATTTTAATAAAACAAATTTAGTTAAAGATTAGAATAAGAAGTATAATTATAATTATCTTTTAATAAAATATTTGTGGTATAAAGAAGAATAAATACTAGTAATGGAAAATAATTATTTATATAAAGTAAAAAAAAATGTAAGCACCTCGGAATTAATTTGAACCGATTTCTACAAAACACTTCATCTTTAGCAGGATTGGCTCCATCTTGATCGTAACATTGAAATTTGCCAATAAATTTAGTCCATAACTTCTTGAATTTATAATCAGCAGAATCATCTTCAAAGTGAAAGGATAAGTTCATAAAAAGTAAAATCATTATAATAAAATTTAAAATAAAATATAAAATTATGATTCCCAAGAATATAAAATTTTTTGTGGCAGAGAAAAAGAGGTGATATTTTTATTATAACATACGGTATGTCACGTGGTATGTCGCGTGTATAGCCACGGAAACCTCATTAGACAAACACGTGGTATGTAGATGTGATCGAACATGGGATATAATAACACATGTTATGTACCAAGTGGTATCAGCAGATGATTTATCAGAGTTAACTCCAGCATAAAGTTTAGCTAATATTTATTTTAATTCTAGAAAAGAGCTGCCAAGCAAATTAATATTTATTAAACATTTAAAGTTTGCTACAACAGATAGTAACACATCTTCAATTTAGTAATAAATGCATAGTAATTTCCAAATAATCAGAGTAACGCACGCTGTATTCCTAAGGAGATTTATTTTATAATGCAACTAAAATTGCTCTATCATTTAAATTTAAGCACAAGTTGTTTAAAAAAATTATTTATTATACTACATTTATTATAATTACTCTATTAAAATTTATTAAATATATATAATAAAAATTAATTCAAACAAAAAAGAATTTTACAATAATTTTATATAAAAATATTTTTTTGAATCAAAAAATCTTCTCGAAATGGAAATAAACTTATAAAATTAGTAAATTATAATCCGTTTTTATAAATATTAGCTTAATAGATCCAAATCGGAATCAAAATTTTATAATAAATTTCTTTCATATATAAAATATTAATTAGTAATTAATTTTAAAGTAAAAACCAATTTGGTTAGTGATCAATAAAAATTTATATAATACTAATTAATTAAATTAAACAAAATTTTATAGAATCATAGTTAACAAAAGTTTACCATAAAATTAAAATTAAAGCCAGTAGTATAAATTTATAATAAATAATATAAAGTTTAAAAGTATTCGTTATTATAGTGATTATTAAAAATAATAACTAAATTTTAGTATTTACTACGTTTTACGTTTTACTTCATATTTTTATTACTATGTTTAAAAAAATAAATTAATAATTATGTTAAAGTTATTATAAATAACATTTTTATTAATATAGTAAAGTTTACATTAAGGTAGATGTTTCTTATTTTAATATTAGTTATGCTAATATTGTTTATTATTATAATTAATTAAAAGTAAATGTTAAATATTTTTAGTTATTATTATTTATTATTATTTCTATTTAATATAAGTATATTTATTATCATATTAATGGTTGTTGTAAACTTATTAAGAATATTATTTTTATTTATTATGAAAGTTATTATAATGAATTTATAATTTATATATATATTTTAGTTGATTCTTAATGAGATAAACTTTTTTAGATAATTTTTAATTTTGCAATAATTTTAAATCTCATCGGGACAAACTTTTTCTAAAGTTTTCCAAATTTCCAATTAACTAAATTTAAAACCAAATTTTCTATAAAAAAAATTTCTTAATAACTTAATCAAATCTTATTTCTAAATAAAACCAACAAAAATCCATTAAAATCTAAATTACTACATTAAATTGTCTATAAAGAAATTTATATAATTTTAAATCTCGTCTTATGAATCTTATAAGTATAATCTAATAATTAATTTTTTAAAATTCTATTTTAATTTTCTTGGTTTATATTTTTTTTAAAATAAAGGCAATAATTTAACTTGATGAACTGAAAGAAATTTAGTTAAAAAACTAAAACCTGATTGTTCTCCAGGATAATTGTGAGTCTCTTTAGGGCGGTACTGCTCGGGTACTGCCCATACGCAAGCGCAGTTGAAAATGCTGGACTTATAGTGGATCACAAGCATAAATCTAAAGAATTACAAATTTATAACAAACCATCAAGACTTAAAAGTGATTAATAAATAATTTAAACATTTAGAAAAAAAATTAAAAGAAATATTTAAATTTTTTTTAATAAAGTAATTTTTATTTATTTAAAATAATAAAGAGTCTGTATTAATTGATAACTATTATAATTATTATTATATATAACGTTATAATATTTTTTAATTAGCTCAAAAATATTATTTTTTCTATTCGAGCCTTGTTTCTTTATTCTCCCTGATCGCAACCTGGACCAGACCTTGAGGATGGCTGCCATAGTGAGTTAACTTATTGTGATTATAATTCTAATATATATCAACGAATTCAAAGTTAACATTATAGTATATAGTAATAATAAATAAATCCCCACTTTAAAAAAATCCACGCCAAGTAATTCAAATTTAGCTGGCCCCGAAAATTCTTTAAATTTTGTTGTCAAGTAGTTTTTTGAGCGAACTCGGTACTTTGTAGTATCACAATCTTTAAAGCCGCCTAATCAAAAAGTCAGCGGCTAAAAAATTATAAAAAATAATAATTTAGGAAATTTTTACCTTTCGAAGAATTATTATAAACTTTTGGTAGAGGCGGAACTACATCTTCAGGAAATTGGCAAACGCAGTAGAGCAAGTGATTTTCATTTTTATTTTTAGAAAAGTCGTCCATGGAATTATATTCTTTACTATAATTTACTAATATTATGGAGAACTCTACTTCAAAAAGGCAGAATATTAAGTAAGAAAAAGTAATAGAGCGCAACAAAAACCTGTGCAGAATTGGTAGGATACAATTATATAAGTTTCACTTAAAACTACTTTGCAATAATTGTAAATAGAAAAAAAAACTTTTAAAGTAGTCATAATATAAAAACATAACTTTTATAATAAATAAAGTTAAACCCTGTATAATCTTATTACAAGTAGATGCCTCACCTAATATATATATATAATAACATACCGCAATCTATTATTTTCTATATCTATTATTGTAAAGCATTATTTCTAGAAACCTCAAACCCAGAGAAATGCGAGTTAATTTATTTTATTTAAAAAAGACAAGAGGCAAAGCCTCAGCAAAATATTATTTACAACAGGCAGAGCTCTCTCACTACAAAAGTTTGCGTGCAACCGCTGATCTAAAATCTTGGGTTTACAAATTAGCATTGCCAGGAATGCTTAGAAATTAACTACTACTTCATCTTTGCTGACCCATTCAGATAGATATTCAAATTAGTAACACTACTTAGAAGTATTATTTATTTTGAAATTTCTTAGTACTTTTTGTTATTTATTTTATACTTTTATTTTTTATTTTTTATTGTTGTTTCTTATATTTATATTTTTTATAGTAAAGTTATTATGTGTATTAAATAAATTTATGACGTCTAAAGTATTTGGTTTAGTCCCACGGTTCCTGTTGAGAGCAGAGGTTATGAGAGAACAGGTTATTGTTTAATATACTGTTACTATGTTTTTCAATTAAATTTGCTCAAGCTATTAAGGCAAGAATATAGTTTCGCAGTCAGCCTTATAGCTTGGCGTAGTATGCAATTTATATTTTTCTTTACATATCAGTTTGTTGTCCATGACCACTCGAAGATATTTTGCCTTAGAACACCAAGAAAACTTTGCACCAAAAGGCAAGAAAAATTTTGTTAGGCTTTTTTTTTATTTAGATGTGAAGGAGAACTTAGCCTATTTATGTTGATTGTAAACTACCACCTTTCGTACCACTCGTAGATTTTACTGAGTGAGCAAAGCAATGGAGGAGCTTGTGTCATATAAAAAAGTATAGGAGACAGCAAGGTACCTTGGGTTCTCCTCTATTCATTCATGCATGCTGATAGAAAATCCTTGTAATTAATCGTATATATACTATTTTTAAAACTTTTTATAAGCTTAGTCATAATCAGCAGGAAGTATAAAACAGTAGAGTTCGTAGAAAGGTTAGGCATGTCATACGTTATAGAAGCTTTTTTAGTGCCCAGAAATACGAATCCTGTTGCTTTTTCCAAAGTTGAAATCTTTGGTGACTTCAACTTTTTTTATCATTTAAATGTCTTAAAATTGTGTCCCTAAAATCATTACTTCCGAGAAGATATTAGATTTTTTGAAGTACAAATTCTTTTAGTCCTAGCTAAATAATTTTTTTTTTTTATAAAAATTTCCCAGACATGGCATTAAAATAATGGGACGGTAAACACTAATTTCATAAGATGGAAGGAAACAAGCGGGACTCCAGCGTAAAAGCCATTCTTGTATATAGCATCAGTAAAAGTCCATTCAATAGTTTAAATACTTTCTTCGATATATTATTCCAACCAGCTGCTTCTTAATATAAAGACCCGTTGTAATGCATCTACTTCTTGATATCCATAACTTATCTTAGTAGTTACACTTTTAAATATTTAATATTTTGGCAAATTTTATAATTTTGAGGGCATGCAAGTGAATTATCTACAATTCTGCTTGATATTTTTATATTTTTAAAAACTGTATGAACTCCAAGCCAATAATAATAATAATAAAATAATAAAATATTAACAATTTTCAAGAGGGAAAAAGAAGAAATAGTTTTACCTATTGCTTTGGGCCTATATTTATTTTCAGACTGAGATAGTAGATGCGTTATATAAACAGCAAGTTTTCTGTTAGCCTTTACTGACTCTAAATAACAACTCATTTCTAAGATCTTAATTGATTCGCATGATGTGGAAATCTCAAAATGTAAATTTACGTAATGTCAAATTTATTGCCTACCGAATTTTTTAATGGCTCGTTTTGATAACATTTAAGACCAGCGAGCTATTAACAGTAAGTTTGCTACCTCAGTCAAATAGTAAGGTGTTGAATGTTTAGGAAATATAACCTTTCTTTCTTTTATTCGAGGCCTACCAGTTTAAGTTTAGAAAGTAACAAGTTGGACTTCCCAATTGTTATTTATTGGATTTAAGCCCTGATAGTTAATTTAGCTAGTTCAGAAAATTTTACAACATTGTGTTGGTTTTCTTAAGCGTATTTTGTTCAATTTTTTATGAAATCTTGGGAATGTAATTTTTTATTCTTTTACGGTAAAGTTTGGGCTAGCATCGCTTGGCTTACAGTTAAGTTAGAAGAAAATGGGGTTGATAAGTATTTAAGTAACAAGTTTAGGCCCTTTACCGAAAGTGAGCTAACATGCCCTTTTCTATTTGTTTAATAATTACTAGTTAAATAGAGTACCCAGAAATTATACTAAGTAATACTAACAACTTGCATATGGTGCAATCGGAGAATATAACTTCGTCTAATCTTCGACTAACTTTACTATGTTTGACCTCACAACCCGAACTGCGTGTGCGGGTCCTCCGATCTCTGCTCTTGCCTGGATTCTTGTTCCTACCAATTTTTGCTCAAGCTGCATAGAAATTTGCCCAACAAACTAAGTTAATTCTGTACAAACTTTATTCTCACAACCTTAGCAGTGTACTGTGTGGCCTAGTTACTGATAATTCTGAGAATTCTCTGGTATTTTTTTTTAAAAAATTAGGGTTAGTTTGATGACAGAAACACTAAATGACCAAGTCCGTCACCCTTGAAGCTAAATTTCTGTACATTGTAGGATATTACTTTTTAAATGCAGAGTACTCTGCAATGGCTCCCCAAATATCAACTACTGAATGAGGGGTATACGTACTATTCTATATATAGACTTGTACGAAGGATAAAGAGAGAGGTCATAAAAGTGAATATTTCAATTTTTAATACCAACAATAAAAGCAAAGTTTTTAAGAACGTTTCATTCTTAGCATGAGGAGGTGTCAAGTGCTAGCTCCATAAAAACTAACAGATAAGAAAATTAAGGCTTAGTTTAATAAAACTAATTAAAAATGCTATAATCCAGGCGACAGGGTTTATAAATATCCAATTAACTACAGATATGAAACAAATAAATTTTAAGCTAAAAAATGCGGAGGCTCCTTAAGAGGATTGCATTTTTTTCTTTAAATAATTTGAAGCTTTCACTTTTGCCTACATGAGTGCACAGAGGAAAACACGAAATGTTGATAACGGAACCGCGAACAACAAAGAAAGTTCGCGCCCAAAGTTATATACCTATGATGAAAGAATTTTAGTGAAGCTTTTTAACAATACATAAAAAACTGCCACAAGTAGGGAATAGAAGGTTTGAAAGCGTTATGCTCGATATCAGTTATTGTATTACCTCCCAGCTCTCTGTAAGTCGTGTAATATTAAATAATATGCTGAACAAAACGTACTGAGAACTTTTAAGATTTAAAAGTTGGATTTTTAGTGTTTTAAAAAATATAATAGTTTAATATTATAAATTAAAATTAATAAATTGCATTATCCAAACTTACAAAAAGGATAAAAGCGTTTAAATTAACGAACGCATCCTCAGGTATCAAACTTATGAGACTATCATTCAACGCCTGTCGTAGTTAAAAAAAGTTTAACATTTATCAACTATATAATTAATAGGTGAGATTAAAAACCAGTAAATACTAAAAGCTGATAAGACTTTTAAACATTTCCTTATTTATAAAAGTGATCTTGTTG